AATTGTTTGGTGTTATTTATTACGTGTATTTAATGAATCGATGACAAATGAAGATAAAAATGAATATACCATAAAAGCCAAAGAACGATATAATGAGTAAATAGTTTAATTAAATAAAAAAAAAATCTTTTTTTTATTAAATTTATCTTTTAGAATGAAAGAAGCTTGGCAAAACCGATATAAACAACAAGATTCTGAAGTAGTTGCACTTGAAAATTTAATACAAAAAGATGTACAACGTACAGATCGTTCAGTGAAATTTTTTGATGATAAAGAAAATTTAGCAAGAGAAAAATTATTTCATATACTTATGACCTATAGTGTTTATCATCCTGAACCTGGTTATGTCCAAGGTAATTTATTTGATGATGATAATAATTTAATATATTTATTAAGTTTTTTTTTCATTATGTAGGTATGAATGATATGGTTGCTCCTATTTTATATGTTATACGAGATGAAGCATTAGTTTATGCATGTTTTTGTACACTAATGCGTCATATGAGTTCAATATTTCATCCAAATGGTATTGCAATGAACCGCCGATTAGATTTATTAAGAAAAACAATTCGAGCTATTGATATAGATTTGTGGACTAAAATTGAACAATGTGATATTGGTTTGTAGTTTTAATATTATTTGATATTCCTCTATGCGTAATTTTTATTTTAGGCAATCTAATGTTTGCTTATCGTTGGTTATTATTAGATTGTAAACGTGAATTCCCATTTAAAGATATATTTCGTGTCTTGGAAACTTTGTGGGCATCATTACCCGTTGATAGATTTGAATCAAATAATGATAATACCTTGTCGGATAGAGATGATCTTTGTCCATCATCATTATGTAATCAACATCGTTCATCAATGCTTTCATCAATATCAAATACAATATTATCATCACGTTCATCTTCACCAACACTTGAAGAAACTCAATCACAACATTCAAGTCTTGATGGTGGAGATTCAGGTTATCGTGATGAACATATTCCAGGTATATGTGATTTTAATTTACGTTCACACAAAACAGAAAATTCAACTTATTTAACACTCCGAACCAATTTACCTTCAACATCATGTATACCATTAGGAAAATGGTTAATACATTTTACATCAATTGATAATGATGAAAATTATTCAGATATGTTTACAATATTTCTATGCGTTGCTTTACTTGAACAAAATCGTTCATCAATTATGCAACTATCACCATTAAATACAGATGATGATGATTTCATTGGTACGTATTTTACACGTCTTGTAAGACAACATGATGCACGACATGCATTACAATTAGCACGAAATTATCATCGACAGTATGTTCTATTTCAAATGCGTGTCAAACAATTAATATTGACCGATAATTAATTTTCATTTTTCTTCTTTTCGGTGTGCTTTATTATCATATGTATCTCTAGTCTTTCATTCGCTCATATGTCTATGTATGTCGGTGTATGTTTCGTTCTAGTGCTCAGCCATAACGGATCTTCTATTATTCGGTGAAATTTTTGGTTTTTCGTCCATATTGAGCATTATTATTTATTTCATTCGGTTGTTTTATTTTAGACATGACTCTCAGTCCTTTCTTTCTTTCGCTCTTTCTTATTTGATATTTTGTTAACTGTAACAAAACGAAAAACCTGTGTTTCCTGTACTTAATCATGTAGAAACAGACATAAAATGTGTTTCTACTGGGTGTATTCGGGTTCTGTATTGTTAAATGTCAGACATGTAACTGATAAAAGAGAAAAAAATTTTAATAATATTATAATAGAAAAAAAAAACAGTATTATATAAATATCGATTTCTTAATAAAATTGTAATATAGAATTGAATTAATTTATTATTATTATTATTACTAATAAAATACGAGAAAATAATATTTGTCATATTCTTTTTAAATAAGAATTATCAAAAGAAAAGATCTTTCGATGATAAAAGTTGATAGAACAAAAAATGACTCATAGAATATATTAAATAAGTATGTGTAAGATTAACTTTTATTATCACATATTTACTCTTCATGAGGTGATATTTCAGTGACAATTGATAATAGTGCTGTTATCTAACATAACATGTGATGCAAGAATCTTTTGCAATCTTCGCCTAATCATATTGCGGAGTTGTAATAAACCAATAGAATGCCATGTTTTTCTGCAACGGCAATAGATGAACTATGAATATGGTACTAAATGTATTTTTCATCATGACTGTGAAAGGGTATTAATAGAAAATATCTCTAAAATAAGTTCTTGCAATTTCATTATCGAGCAAGATCATTTTGTAAATTTTGTAAATTATTTTGTACAGTAGAAGACAAATGAAACAAAAGTATTTAATGATGATGATGTTTGTTGTATACAGAGGGCTCTTTTCGAATGGTGTATTAGAAGTTAAATAGACTTGTAGTTTTTATACGACAATGTTTCTTCTTGTGAACGAAATCGAATAATTTGATACTGTATACTACTTGGTGGTTTTGAACAGCTGCTTGGAGTGGTTTTTTCTCCTCTATTTCTCTGACCTCTTTTTATCAAACCACGAAAACAGATTTGAATTCATATGCGGTTTCTACAGATTGTAATTCATATTCTTGCAACCAAATCTACTGTATGAAAAAGTTTTCCATTTAACAGTCAAGATTAGAATTGTGAAAGATCAAGCTAAGACCGGAATTATAAGACTTACGATGAAACCTATTCAGAAGGTCTCTTTCGGTTTCAATATGTTTTTGTCTACAGATACTGCCTAGTGGTCTTACCAAAAATTCTGATAGGATTTGCATTTTTAACGAAGCTATCAAATTTTTTTTTCCAGAAGTGTCAGATTTTTGGAACATCTGTGCTTTCGAATTTTGATCTAGAACTTTTACATATACAGAATACTTCACATAGAAAGATTCAAGCGCTTTAAATAATGACTCTACGAGATATGAGACTTCCAACATAATAGATTCTTTCCTATGGACAAAGTATATAACATGCATTTTTGAAAGCCTCACATCTCGAAACAACTTTGTTCAAAACTTCTGAATTTTTCATGGAAGCTAATCTAACTGAGTTCTCTATATGCACAAAGCTTCAGATCAAAATTTGATAGTTTAGTTAAATCTCTAAATCCTTTTAGAATTTGTATTACAATATTATGAAGTAACCATAGACAAAAAAAACTATTCAAATCGTAAGAAGACTTCTAAAAAGATTCCTGTGTTAGTTTCACACATGTTATTCATCAAATTAATGCAATTGCAAAAGCCTTTCTTTGGAGGTATTAACATTTTTTGCTTTAAACATTCTACAGATTCGTTCTGAAGCAATATGCTTGGTAGAACACTTTTAGTTCACATATTGTCTTTTTCAACAAAGAAAAGAATTTGACCGACATAGAAATTAGTAATATAGTTCAAGAGAGTTTGACAAATTTATAAAGAAATTTGAATTACTTGTTAGTTCGAGTATTAGATAATATTTTTAAGTATGACTCTTGAATATATATGTATTTCACAAGATTCTTAAAATGCAAACGTAATGATGATAAATTAAGTGAAGCAAGTAGATATCATATTTATTAAAGATAAACTTTCTTTTCAAGTCAAAATTGGGTAGAAATAAAAGGTTACGAACTGTTATGTTTAAGTAGATCAAAGTACGAGAGAGCAGTTCGAACTACATGTAAAAAAAAAGACATCGCAGAAGAGTCATATGTTTTTAAAACACAATTTCATTTATATGGCAACTAATATAGATAATATTATTACTTCCAAGTCTTTTGCGTCTATTTTTCACAAAAAAAGTAATTTTGAAAAATCTTTTGTTTTTTTCTTTGAGGGATATCATAAGAATTTTGATAAGATAACTTCTTAACTAATTTACGCCATAGAAAACATTAAGTCCTTATTAACCTTAATCATTATACCGAATATATACGATTTAATAGTCATTTTTTTTGTATTTGATTGTCACAATCAATTATGATCGGTTAGATGTTTTGAATTATTGAAATATAAAGTCTATATATATGGACTAATTGAAAAAAAATAGGTTGCTTTTGCTTTATGCGCGTGTTGTGTCATGTGATTATTTATCAAGGCACTCAAAAATATATTCATACAAATTGAAAATCCTCTGATATTTGAAACCAAGTAAAATACAAGATAAACATAAATGAATCTTTTATGAAATTTAGAGCAAATAATAATATGATTACAATGCAAATATCTAAAATAATTACATTTCAATATATATATATATCGATCAAATTTCTAGATCAATAACATCAAAGAAGTTTTTAAACATTTTATTTTTTGTATTCGATCATTGACATTTTTCGGCATGTGTCTATCTTAGACTTAATAATTTAAGGCTATCAATTATTTGGTTTTTATTTATTGCAATAAATTTTTCTTGAATAGTCTATGAATGAAAATTATTTCGTAAATTTCTCGATGCCATGTGTGATAAAATCTTAGAAGTTCTCGGACATCATTTAGCAGTCATTTCGAACTTTTACATAAGGAAAAATTCTTTACTTCAATGAAAAAAAAAATCAAATCTCGATTGATTGCCCAAAAGAAAAGAACATTTATTACATTCAACGTATTTTAATATATATCAACATATGTGTATGCACCATATGTTTGATTGTAAGTCTAAATAGGCTTCAATAATTTCAATCGAACCGTAAAATATCGTAAACATATTCTATATAACAACGCAAAAGTCTTATATTTTTGCTAAATATTTCAATTGAATTATATAAAATTGATCATAATATAACCACCGTTCTGCATATATATGTATATATTTTTTATGAGTCGATTAGAAATGGAGAAAAAGCCTCAACAGAAATAATAAATAATAAGAAAGAATTGACTAACAATGGAAAAAAAAGAAAAAGAAATGTAGGCTATAACAAGACGAAACAAAGAAAAGAAAAAAAAAACAAATCACAGTTCAATACTTGAATGTTAGATTTTAAGAGTGAGAGAAAAAAAAACAAAGTTCATTGACGAATAAGACGACATAATGCAAGAAATTGATGACGAAGACGTGAATCAACATAGAATGATAAATTATTAAATATTAATAAACCTGATGAATCAGGTGATTCACTTAATTCAATATGATCTAATAAATAATCACCATGTTGATTTTCATCATCTTTATGATAAATCATAAAATGTCGATTTTTAGTTAATATTAATATTCCATGTTCAATATGATGATGTTCAAGAACATATTCTAAGATATCAAGTATTTCATCTTGATTTGTTATTTGACAAGAATGAGAAAGTTTAAGATAACTTATAGTTGTATTTATTCGTGCATCTTGTTCAATTTGTCGATGTCGTCTATGTGGAATATTCATTAAACCAGTACCATAAAGAATACCTTGACCTGTTTGTGATATAAGTTGTGCAACACCACCGACTGGTTTTACAACAATACCAACAAGACCTTTACCAACACCGGATAAAACAGTTGTTGTTGCAGGTTGTGAATCAGCTTTATTACGAAATGAAGCTAAAGGTTGTTCAGCTAAACCAGCTATAGCACCTAATAAACTTAAACTAAATAATTCAAGACCTTGTAAAAGACCATCAGTCATTCCAGTTGGAATATTTCGCATTGTTTCTTCATTACGTGTTGTATGTTCACTATCCATAGCTAATCTATCCATATTTCTTGCAACACTATTAGCAAATGTTGTTACTGATGTTAATGTACCTTTTATTAAAAAACAAAGAGATCATTTGTTTTTAAAAGAAAAAACGAAAAATTTATTTAATTCATTACCTAATGATAGATGTTTAAGTAAACTTGTAGCACCTTGAGATATACCCATCATAAATCCACTTGGACCATTACGCATTCCAACATATGGTAAATGAAATAGATCATAAATACCATCGGTTATATTACGAATTAATACAGATGGATTGCCTAAAAATAATACATTATGAATCTGATAAACATATACGAGAATAACAAAGAATTTTTTTTATAAAAAATAAAATTATCTAAACAAGGGGCGTACGCCGATGCATTGATCGACGACGACTGACGAGGGAACCTCTCCAAGTATTAATCGCCGATCGAGCTCATATTTTGCCCATAAGTAAGACTCGATGAGACTAGCAAAAGTCCGGAAAGATTCGTCCGCATACGCTGTCCTTTCAGAGTTACGACCGTTTTACTGGTTTTTCGACCTCTGACAATGGTATTTATAGGGAAGCCCAAGAATGAAATTTTGTCCATAAACAGGTCTCATAGTCACTAGTATATCCTAAAATTTTTAGCTAAAGTGAACGTTTCTTTCTCGGAATATTGAGTTTTCAAGAAGCTCTATCTTTTTGCGCGTCGTCTTTAAAGTTGGATCGTTCCTTGAAAATTCAATATCTCGAGAAAGCAACGTTCATTTTAGCTGAAATTTTTAGGACATTGTAATGAACATGAGACCAGTCTGTGGACAAAATCTCAGGTCAAAATTCCATTCTTGAGCTTTCCTATAAATACCATTGTCAGAGATGGAAAAACCAGTAAAACGGTCGTAACTCCGGAAGGACAGCGTATGCGAACGAATCTTTCCAGACTTTTGCTAGTGTGATTGAGTCTTACTTACGGGAAAAATATGAGCTTGATCGGCGATTAATACTAGGAGAGGTTTCCTCGTGAGATTTTTCGATGAATTTTTTTTAGTTTCGAGAAATTTTGACATCAAAAAGAGATAAAACGATGATAGAAAATATATTGATCATAAACTAGACGATAACATCTCCGAAAAATGATTTAGGACGCCCTAAATATTTAAAATCAAATATCTAAGTTTGTGTCGTGGCTAATTAGTTTACATCTCTAATGTCAACTATTTATTAATAGAATAAATATATATTTCATTATTACCTAATAGATCAAATGATCCAAGTAAAATTGGTGATCGTGTTAATAAAGAAACAAAATAATGTCTAGTAATTAATGTTAATAATTGTTTATTTGTTGAATAAATATAAGTTTTTTGAAATTTATCAATAAACATTGGTAATTGATGACAACCAATATAAACTTTCATTGAAGCATGTACACTAATAACAATATCAACTGGTCCAATATATAAAGATTCACAAACAAATGGTATTTTCATTAATGCATTATCAATATTTTCGATTTTAACTGGAATTTCTTTTATATTTGTTGGAATATTTAAATCAAGTGGTAATAAATGACTAAAAATTTTTAATAAAACATAAACATAATGATCTTCAAGATAAACATCAAATGGTTGAAATTGAAAATCAATTTTAATAAAACGTTCATTTATTCGATGAAAATGTGCCGTAAAAAATCTCCGTTGATTATTATTAATAAATTTTTGACGAGAAATTTTATGATTATGTGATAAAGAATCAAATGCCGGTAATGGATCTTCTGTAAGAGTTGTATCAATTGATGAAGTCGAATTTTCACGACGATGATTAGCCAGAGAAGAACTTGGTCTATGAAATAAATTAAAGATTAACATTCAATAGAACAATAATATTAATCAAAACATTAGCCAGATATTAGTACGGCATGCTAATTAAGAGTTATTAGTTTGATCGATGGTAGATTTACGATATGATGCGATTCTTTTTCGATTATTTTATATACATATTTCAGTTTGTTTTTATCGAAAATATTGAACATGTCATCGTTATTTTATCCATTTAAGCTATTTTTTAACAGTAGTCTATTAACAGATTGATGAAAAATTGCTTATTTCATACATTCAAAGTACAGGGATGGATTTCCTAATAAACCTAACCCTACTTAGAATTTTTAAGGAAACGTTTAATAATTATATATCATTTGAAAAGGTTTCTAACAAACTGAACATAGTAGTTTTCCGATCTTAAAACTGTTTTTTAACAATACCATTCTAAAAGGCACAAAATCTTAAGTAATGTTAGAAGTTGCCGGATTGTTTATAATCTTCTATTAAAACGTTATAAGCATAGCAAAAACTCGAAAAAGACATTTTTTTGTGAAACCTTTAACTTTTTAACCAACGATCATGGAAGAAGCGGCAACCCCTCCTGTTGCAGAGAATTTCGTGCTCTTACAATTCATGTGTGAAATCTTGGTAATAAGTTATTATTCAAATTTGAGTGCAATTTTATTCAAGATAAAGCTATTTAATCAAATACATACTCGCTTGATTCTTTTTTTTCATAAACATTTGTTTTTGTTTTCGACATACGTTTTTCATCTTTTGACATTAAAACAACTGGAAAATCAAAATTATTTTTTGAACTATAACATTGATTATCAATTTGTAATTGATCAATTGAACAAAAAAATTGTTGTTGATATAAACATAGTTCAGTATCAATAAAATGTTGATAAAATAATAAATTTATTTTATCAATTGTTACACGAAGAATTTCACGAAATAAACATATATCATTTAATTCATCCATTAATGATATAGATATTTTATTAACAAAAAAATTAAATTGTATTTGTCGATGATTACTTTGATTATATTGTTGTTGCCATGATTTTAAATATTGATTTGTTGCATTTGGTGTATTTATTGGTGTATTTTTATCAAACATAGTTGAACGATATTGACGTGGTATAGTTTCTGATATGATAGTTGCTTGTGGTAATGATGAATTAGTTATTTCTAATGATGAATTTACTTTGACAATATTATTAGATTTTGATGTTGTTGTTGTTTTTATTGAACGATGACGATGAACAGGTTCAATTACTAATGTTCGACTTGCTGGCAATGATGCAGATAAGGAATGAATTAAAACATCATGTAAACCTAAAGTAAGAATTGAACATGTATTTTTGAGTTTAACTTGGTTAAGAAAATTTGATGACATTCTAGCAAGAAACATGACGATTATATGATGTAAATTATAGGTAAGAAGCTATGGTTTTATCATGAATCGATTGATCGAAAATTTTCAAATGCTGCCTGGATATTAGTTAGAGAAATTTCGTTGTTTGTGATTCGATGCAGACGGCTTACTACAAAAATTCTAATTTTCAAAACTACCCAGGTCAATCGATACGGCTGTTTACGGTGCTGTATGAAGCAAATAGACGGTGAAAATATAGATAGCCGTTTCGATCGACCTGGGTACTCGTCCTGTCTTAATTCATCATGTTGATCAAAGAAGCTTTATCTATCATTATGATTTACTAAATAATTATGTCGAATATTTTATAGAGAAACTGCAGAAGACCAACATTTAGTACATATGCTGTAAGATTTCATTACGACGTCGTCAAGGTGCAAGTATATGAAGATGTTTCAAACTACTTCAACTGAAAAGATATGAAAATTATTCGATAGACATTCTCATTATCTTATATCAAGAAATAATCCTTGAAGCTATTCATATCAAATTATTGCTTTCGAATCCTTGAGTGTTTGGTAGACTGTCGTCCATAAATTTCGGTAATTTCTAGTTCGGGTCGTAACCGTGCAAACTCCTATTTCTCTTTTCTAAAAAACAATAAAACAGAGTACTTCATACCGGGTACTGGTAAAAAGACATCTTCTAATTGTGAATCAATTCTTAATGGTCTACTCCATTGAACATTTTTTGTTGTTACTTGTTGAAAATAATCTGTTATTAATTGAATAACATTATTGGAATTTTCATTTAATAAGAATTGTGCTAAATAAAATCTTGAACCATTCATTAAATTTTGTAAATTATTATTATTATTATTTAATGATGATGATGATTCTGGTGAATCAATTCCAATAAATGATGATGAAAATGGTGGAATTATATGTGACATAGATGAAATATTTTCTAATCGACATAATAATGGACATGAACAAGTATTAACAACATGTAAAAATGCCCAAGATGGATTAGAATTAATTGATATTTCAATTTGACTTGTTGATGTTTTAATTAATTGATTAATAGAAAATAATTCTCCACGTAAACTTTGAAATGTTGATGATTTTAATCTAAAAAAAAAACAAAATTTGGTGTTTTTTTTCTTTTTAAATTTATTTTGAAATCGATTTAATTCATCTTACTTAATTTGTTCATCTTTTTTATATAAACAAAAACATTGTCGATTTCCATTTTCATCAATTTTTGTCATTAATTTAATTGGTTTAGATAAATATTGTTTATCATTTAATTCATTTTGAAATAATAAATAATAAATAATATCTGTTGATGGTATACCTTGAAAACGATATAAATTTATTTTTTCATTAATTTTTATTTCTAAACAATTATATGGATAATCAATTGTATATTGTTGTTTTGATATTGGTAATATATAACATAATAATGTTTGTTGTGTTTGATTAATAAATTGATATTTTGATTCAATTGTTAATATATGTGTATGATCAAGATATTCATGTTTTAAATGAATAATAAAATAATCATTATTTGATGATTTTATAAAATATAAATCAATTGAACCATTTATATATAAACGATTATTAATTATATTTGTTGTATTCATCATAGAAATATTTCGAAATATTAAATCAATTGTTTGACATTGAATATGTTCACCATCATATGGATCAATAAGTATAAATTGTATTTGACTATATTCTAATTTTGAAAGACAATTTATTTGATCAGACTGTATATATGTATGATCATGACCAGCATTTGCATATAAATGAAAATTAAATGGTGTTAAATTATTTATTAATGTTAAAGGTTTTAATTCAATTAATATTGTATTTAAATGTGAATAGAGACGTATTGGTTCAATACGACAATCAATTGAATTTGTTTTTATATTCGTTGGATTGATTACTAAGAAATAATAAAAAATTTTGTTTTAAACAAATTTTTTCTTATGAGAAAATGTTTAGAACTATCGAACCCGATGAGATTGGTGAGTTAAAAAAATTTGCTCTTACCGTTATTAGAATGTTCGGAAAGTTTCACTGAAAAAAAATCAGAGCAGTAACTCATTCAATATTCTACTGACCGGAGAAGTTCTTCAACTGATAATTTGCTTTTGAGTCGAGACCTTGTATGTTATGTAGATCTATATAAGTTAAAAATATCTTGGAAAGAATATAAGTTTTTAGCTTATTGTTGCACCTTTATGATTATCAGAAAGCCATCGTCCACTCGAGAACATTAGAGAAACTGATTTTTGAATTTTCACTTGAAGTTTTGTATAGAGACAAGCCTTAATGAGCATCGTATGTTGTGAAAATTTTAGACCTTTCGATTTGTCTGTCTTGAAGTCGGAACATCAAATGTGGTGGTTTCTATTAGCAATGTCAAAGACACACTATTACTACAATTGTATCTCAGAAATACTAATAGTGATAAGGTCTGAACCATTCACAAAAAGAACTATTTTCTTGAAGGTCTGTCTCTATTCAAACTTTCAAGTCGACATTCGAAATCGCGCTTCTCGGATGTTGCTGATAAAGATCATGATATTCTATTAAATAATACAGTATCTCGGTAGAAATAAGTTATTAGTTCAAATACATCGCAGAGTATTCATAGTACATTCGAACCTACATGATGCAAATAATCCCAATTCAAAAGCGACTTGACATCTAGAAAAACATTCTCGGATTATATTTCCATTAGTCAGATCGAGTTTCTTTTTTTACATGAACAAACTATGAGCTCGTTTGACATTCTACAATCCTCATTACTTTGAAAGCATCTCAAAACTTTCGAATATGTATCGCAAGAAAAAAATAATAAATTTTCCTATTTTATTTATGATTGCTAATAAATAAAAGTATGTCACTATCAATACATACGATTTTCAATTTTTTTTGTTTGAAATGTAATTGGTGGTTCATACATAGATGGACCATTAGCACCAATACTTGGTACAAGAGATGTATTTAAAATTTCATTTGTTTGTTCAATTAATGGTATAGGAATATCATCATCAGTTTGTTTTATTTTAGAATGTTGTTGTCGAAGTAGATCAATAATTGAATATGTTGAATTTTGTTCATCAAATTGTGATGAATAAAGTATTTTAGTTTGTAAAAAATAATCAATTAAACTCGAATTTTCTTGTTGAATATTTTCAAATTCATTTATAGATAAATAAGATTGTTTATTTAATTCAAATATACATGATGTTAATTGTTCAACATCAAATTGTTGTAAACGATGTTCATATATTATTGAATTTGAATTATCAAAAATAAAATCATTAAAAAATGTATAATTACCATTTGATTGAAGTATAAATGTTTTATCTTTATTTAAATGTACTAAAACTGATTGTGTTAAATATGAACGATAAATAATAATAGGTGTAAATATAAAACAAGTTAAATTTTCATATTCAAATAAATGTATCCATATTGATAATTGTTCACTTGTTGAAATAATACCATCTTGATTTAATTGTTCAATTGAATATTTATTTGATGAATTCCATTGAATATATTCAATATCATCAATTGTTTGTAAACAACTTAAATATAATTCATTTTTAGATAAAGATATATCCATTTGTCTTGAACCAACATTTAAATAAAATTTTATATTTAAATCAATATTACAAAGATTTTTAAGTATTAATTTACCAATAATATGTATATGACGACGTATTTGATGTTCATCATAATGAATATGTAAATAAAATGAATGTGGACTATGAATAAATTGAACTATTTGTTTAATATTATTATCTGTATGATGTATATCAATAGGTAATGAATAGATTGGATCTATAGATGAATGTTCAAGTGAAAATTGAACAGATATATCATCTGTATTTAATTTAGTCCAAACAAAATCTGTTGTTTGTGATGGAGAAAGTATAAGAAAATTATCAGTTGTTTTATGTTGTTTTAAACCAACAGGACAGTTAAGATGATTAGTAAATAGATAATAAGTATAATACAATGGATTATCATTATTGCTTAAAGCTAAAGCTAAACAAAAAAAAATAAACATATGAAAATCTGATTTCACTATCTGCTTATAATCATATTCTTTGATCGAAATCTAAACAAAGGTTTTGATGTTTATCTTTAATATGATTGGGAAAAAATAAATTTATTTACATATACTGTGCACCTTTCTTGACCATATCCTGACTACGCCCCTGCAAGTAGAACAAAAGTTGTCATCTTGGGCACTGTCTTCTATTAGATACTAGGATCACAATGATAAAAAATGACCGTCCATGTTTTCCTGAGATACTACGCTCGAACGAGCTGAAAATTTCTTTACATGCACTAGACATGATTTGCAGTAAATATCTTTTTATTATTTATCCTACGAATCAAAAAGCCAAACTAAAAAGTATGCATGTTTTTCTTTTTTGAATAGAATTACCAAAGATCAACAGAATTCTATTTCTATACTCATCCAGGACAGTGTATTATATATGTGAAAAAAGGTTTAGCTGGATTGAATATACGAAGGTGGAGACATGGAAGCGTTTCTGTACTTTTTGTTTTCATGAAAAAGTTGATTTGAGTAAGACATGAAGCAATATACAGTTTTTGCTAATTTGATTTATTAATGTTTAAATATAATTTTCCGACAATTAGTAAATATATACTACTTCAGACTATACAATCTCCACAAAAGAAAATTTTCATCACGAAACGAAGAGAGAATATCTTTAATATTGAATCTTCCATTGATTAATGCAGTGACAATTTGTAGATCGATTACAAAAATAAAACGATACATAGGATTGACATGTTTTATAGTCAATTTCATGACCCATTCATTAGCACAAAGGAGAATATTTAGATCTTTCGGTTTGATTGCGGAATCTAGCAATGATTTATATATGTTTCGAAAGTTTGACGATAGCTTTGTAACTTACAGCGGACTGTGTTATCACTACTGGGCAAGCAGAGAACAATAAAGAATAATTTACGAAATTTTAATAATAGACCGAAGATTTTTGTTTTACGATTCGATAGTGTCTTTCTCAAAAACAGAATGAAAATTGTTTGTAAAGGTCAAAGTACGTATTCTACATATTCAACTTAGAATTGAATCTATCGATCTTGAATTATTTATTTTACAATATATCATAAAAATATTTGCATTGTTTCAATATATTAGTTTTTTATGTATTTACTCCTTTCATTTTCTATTACACTAATACCATGAGATATAAACTGCTTTTGTCGATGAAATATTGTCACGAAAGAACAGCAAATTAACCCCTTTTTCAGGTCATTCAAACCTCTTTTTCTCTTTCAAGATTACTGCGCTAACAAAAGTCATCGTGCATCAGCAATAGTGCACATAAAGGATAGAAAAAAAATCAACGATGCTTTTAAATAATACGGTCTTTCTCATATTATATTTCACTTGCAATGAATTCAGTTTATTATTTATTTTATTTGATTATTAAATTTCTCCAAAAAAAAAAAAAAAAGAACTGTATCACTACCTTGCTGTTTGAATTTATTTAATTCTAAAACTTCGATCATATCTGATCGAATCCAATGTTGGTAAAGAATATTAATTAAATGACATAATGATTGACTTAATCGAATATTAATATGATCAATATCAAAATGTAATTGATAAAGAATTGATGTTTTAGCTGAACGAAATAATTGATTATATTTTCCATTATTTAAATTAAATATATCAGGTAAATTTGTTAATATACTTGATTGTGATACATCAATGAATAAATCAAGATTAACTAATGCTGGTTCAATACATGAACGTTTTGTTAAAAATCGATATTCTAATGCTTCAAGTGATAATAATGTTTCAATACTCATTAATCTTGTTTCAAGACGTTGACTATAATCAAATGATACATTATCTAAATGTAATGTCAGAACATCATGTTTACATCCATTAAGAATTGATTGAAATTTTGAAGATGAATTTTCTTTCTAAATAAAATATAAGAAATGATAAGACATTTTAAATAAAAAAACAAAGAAAATTCAACCTGTGGATCTATCATAAAATGTAAACATATATTTGGTATTTTAATTGTCATTTCAATTGATGGTTCATAACGTTGACTTTGTAATGAATCAATACGTGTTGATGCAGCTAAAGAATTCGCTTGATGTATAATTGATGATGCATTAAGTAAAACAATACGCCACATTTCAGAATATGGATTTTGTCCAAGATCATTACTAAAATCAAGAAATAATGCTTGACCATCAGATAAATCAAATGTTTGCCAAGTTACAAATTGTTTTGTACCAAAATGCCAATATTGCATTAAACATTCAACCTAAAAGACAAATTTTTTTTTTTAATTCATACATTTATTTTGTAATTAAAAATAATTCGATTGTGACCTCAATTTTTTTTTGTCATCTTTGTAAAAAAAAGAAAAGAAACTTCATAATCAAAAAATTAAATGATTATAAATAAACTTTTTCTTTGTTAATATAAAAAAAAAAAAAAACATCTATTTCAAAAATTTTTATTTTACCGTTTTTATTTTATGTGTCATAACATTTCCATTAAGATCATCATCAAATGGTAATGGAAGTATATGACATTTAAGTAATGATCGTCGTTGTGGATATTTCCATGTCATACAAGATGCAATATTTTGATGATTTATTGTTGTAAAAAAAATTTCATTTATATTAGGTAATTCATGTGAAGTTTGAAATATCCATTTCATTGAACCATTTCTTAAATCATCAACTGATATAATATCATCATTAATTGGTTCAATAATTTTTGATGGTTGAAATATTGATATAGCTATATCAACTATTGTTCGTATTTGATTAATAACTTTTATTAAATAAGTTAATAGATTAAAATCAATTTTTCCAGTTAATGATGAACATTCTAAATGAAGTAATGAATATGTTCGATGATGATCAAGTTTTAATGTTGCTTGACATGGATATATAAGTAAATTATTATTGAAACTTGCATTCAAATCATTTATAATTAAAGAAAAATGTGTCATACGTACATGACGATCATAATGTAATGTAAAATGAACATCAGATAATGATAAACATAAACATTCATCCCACATTAAAGACATTTTTGATGTTAATACTTTTACTTTACGTACACGAGAAACAACTGATTGACCATCGACAGCTGTTGTACTTGTAGGTTTATAACGTTCAACAATTATATCTAAATAGATTAATCATAAAATTATTTATATGTCCAATAGAACATCATCAAAAACTTTTTGAAGTTTTACTGTAATTCTATTATAGAAATAAACATCGAAATTATCACTTATATTTGATGATTTACTTTCATTTGCATGTAAAATAGATCTGCTACGTTGAATTTAATCTGTTAATTATCATTCAATAAATCTTTCTTAAAAGATTTTCTTTTATTCCATGAATGAATTAATTTGTATTTCAATTAGTTATTTCTTTTTTTTTTTTGTTTTTATTTGATACATACTTGCTTTTTCAATAAGAAAGCCAATAAATGGAACAAGAGAAGTTTTATTACCAGTTGATTTTGTAATCTAGAAAAAAAAAATTATTTCACTCGAATTTAAATTAAACACAAAAAAAAAACAAATTTTAATTTTTACTTTATATTGTAAACTAATTCGATCTAATTCAATACCAGCAAAAAGTATTGGTGTTGGAGTATGACTAATATTATTCGTTGTTAAAATATTCTGTTCTTCTAATCGAGATTCTTGTTTAATTTCTTGTTCATTTGATAAATTATTAGAATTATCAGTCTCTGGTGGAAAATCATCTTCAGCAAAAAGTGTTGTTACTGATGGTACATAAGACCATGCCCATGACATCCAACCTGTTTGAGAATTATTTGAAGTAACTGTTGTTCCATCTTCAGAATTTATTATTGAAGGTACAGATGGTATTGGTAGTGGTGATGATGGTGATGGTGGTAATGATGATATTGAAAGAGATGATTCAATTAATTTATTACGTAAATTTTTTTTCTGTTCTTTTGATAAATTATTTTCTTCATTTGAATGTATTTGTTGATTAATAAGTAACATAATAATTTCAGTTAAACGCATTATCATTGATAATTGATTATCAACAATAGATACTTCAATATTAGCACAATTAAAACTTAAACGTGTTTGTATAGGTTTAGTATTTAATTGTTGATATACATTTGAATATAACATTTGTATACGACATTCAAATGAACAACGTGATAATAATGGTACTTCATAACGATGAACTTTACCAGTACTATCACGTTTATCTAAACATAATGTTAAATCTGGTAATGTTATTAAACGTCTTAATGATAAATCTTGTTGTGATAATTCAATAAATGATTTAAACCAATTTTGATTAACAGCATAACATTCAGCTGTACGTGATGATAATGATATAACAATATCTTCTTCAATAAATTTTATTATTAAATTATTAACAATTATATGTACATTATTAAGTATACGTGCAAGTACAGTTTGAATATAATTTGATTGTTCAGCTGTTGTTGGTTGTTGTTGTTGAATAAGTATATGATCAGAATCAATATCATCTTCAGATGATAATGAATTATCATTTGATAATGTACATTCTTTATTTAAAACAATAACAAGTTCAATTTGATTTATTGTTACAACAATTGGTTCTGAATTGATTCGAATCCATGGAACCTGTTTCGAAAAAAAAAAAAAAAATTCTTTATAAAATAATTGTAAATCATATAAACATACATGAATACGTAACTCATGAATAATTCCACTTTGAAAAATAATTGGAAGTGTTGGAACTAATTTTTGTATATTAGCTAAACGTAATTCGAGATTATACAAAACAACATCACCACCCCATAAAGATAATTGAAAATCTTCACGTCTTAATTTTACATATTGATCAATATAAGATAGAAGCCATGGAGTTATATATGATTCAAGTTTGAACATATTTTAGAAATAAAATCAACATCTAAAAGATAAAGTATTTAGGAACAATCCATAGACGACATTCAGATAGAAAATCGTACTTTTTGACTCCATCCATTTGGATGTGAATGTCTGTGAATATCAGATTTATCATCACTTAGATATATATATATATTTTTTTTTCTTCACTATTTTTTCTGTCAGCTAAATTGATGCATATCAATATTCATATTAATGCTCTACCAAATGACTAGCTACTCAATAAATATAATCTTCTATTATTTTAATAACATATTCATATTCGATTGATTTTTCTATTTAAAAATGCTCTTCAAAATATACCAAATAAAAGAAGCCTCCTAGTTGATTAATCACTTTTGAACTCAAACGATGTGCATTATGTAGATCCAAGTGAACTTTGAATATCTTCAAAAGAGTTACAGCACGTAACTTATTGCTGCGGAGATACTGCAAATTTATGATAATTTTTAAATGAATGTCATAGTTCTCTCAGAAGTAGCAGAAAAACTGATTACTTGAATTTCGATTTAAAAATTAGAATAAAAACAGGTCTTAGCTAGAATAACTTGTTGTAAAAAATTCAAATGTTTCGATTGCATTTATTCTAAAGTAAGAACATCAAAATTTGTCATTCGTATATGAACGGTGTGAAAAACATGCTTTTATTATAGGTCATATCTTAGGATAAAAGAAATCAAAAGATTTAACTTTTTTACAATAAACTATTCTCATTAATGTCTGTTCCTATGCAAAGTTTCAAGTCGAAAATTAATTTGTCTGTTATTACAACATTCATTTAAAAGCTAACGTAAATGTATACTATCTCTGGAACAATATACTAAGAAGTTGAACTATCTTCAAGAATATTCATATCTCATGTTGATTCTACATATTACACATAATCTCGAATGAAAAGAGATTTATTCGTCGGAACATTTCTCTCGTAAACGTATCGATACTCTTTGTGAATAATTCCTTACATCAATAAATATATTGTTCTTACAAATCGAAGTCAACAAGTATCATATTTACCCTCGAAAAACTTTTATAAATCCTTGATAAATTATTGTTATCTCAAAAATATTATTAAGTACTACTCTTCATTTAAATAGATTATCATTCAAGATATTACTCAGAAAGAAAATATCATTGATAAAAGTTTTAATATTGATTAACAAACTAATCTCTATATTTATAAAGTCTTTTCTTCAAGAACACACCTATGCATAATCAATTTTAATGGCTTCATCGTTCGATTACGATTTATATATAAAACGATGTATATTTGCTTGGGTATCTGTTGGTCTTGTATGGAAAAATATAACTCTTTTTCTTATATTAATGATATTTCGTTTAAAAAGTAAACAACTAAATCGTATAGAAGAGGAACAAATATTTGAACGACAAACTGGAAAAACAAATCGGACACTATCAACTATTACTCAATCAGCAAATCATGTTATTAAACATAGAGATTCGACTATTAGAAAACGAATTTTAAAAGTATTAGAATATGAAACTCATTATATGGTTTACTTTCTTATATTATTTTTCGTTTTCACTGAAGCACTTCAAGGTACAACAACACGACAAATTGTCTATGGAAGTATTTTTGTCATTGCACGTTATGTACATAATGGAGGTTTACTTTTTCATTACCGTTATGCACGAATGATTGGTATTCTATTCTCAATTCTTGTAATCGCTGCAATAACACTTGATCTAGCGATTATTCTAACAAATGATGTTATACAAAAAAGTACATTAAATTCTATTACAACATTTTGAAATAATTCCGTACTTCTAACAATCTATCAATCATATGAAATAGATTTTTCATTTGTTTATTCATCAAAAAAAAAAAAAAACTAAATAAAACACAACTTTTTTTTTGTTCGATATGCAACTGATTTTTAAATAAACATTTTTAAATAGATCCTATTTCAAACTATTTTTAAAATCAAAAATCTATTGAATCAAAACAAAATTTAGTTTGAGATAACATTAAATATGAATATTAACTATTGAAAAATTTAGAAAATCTCTTCTATAACTTTACATAAATCGAATACTATATAGTCAATCATTACCTTCAATTCTATACACATCAATAAGCATTAAAAGTCATATGAACTACAAAAAAACAATAAAAACACAAACCAGGCATTTTTTCTTTTTTCTTTTGAGAATTTCGTATATAGTTTTCAATACGGTTTCGAAATGAATTCAAGGTAAATAAAAACAAATTGCTATGTCAAACTCATACTTATGTAAATTTACACAATTAATTCATCGAAAAACATAAAAATAAAATTTTCTTAGACATAAAGTAAAAATAGACGTTTATCAAGGACATATAAAAAATATACAAACATAGAATAATTTGTTGATCACTAGGCAATACCTATTTTCTTCAAATATTCATTTAAAACTTAAATATCATAAATTGTCGATTAGTTAATATATATGTCCAATGAAAATTTAATTTTATTGAAATATTATACTGAACTACCATCTATCGAAAAAAATAAATATAAAATAATAATATAATAAAAAAAAAAAATTTCATTTTATAAATGAAATAAATATTTTTTTAGGGAGGAAAAAAAAAGAATTTATTCTTTTTAAAAAAAAATTTTTCTTCCTATTGACTTTTGCTATATACAAATAATATGTAGAGGTTAACATAACAAATTATTTCAATATGCCGACAAGTTTTTTTTTTCTCTCGTTCGTTTAATATTATTTGTCTATTTTAAATAATAATCAATTGGATTTGATTTTTTCTTTTGATTTACCACAAAAAAAAAAAACAAACGCGATGAGCCATTTATTTAATTTACCATTTTCATTTTCAATTAATCCTCAAACATTAAAAAATTTATTACAACATAGAAGAAATATTCAATCAAATACAAGTGAAGACAAATGGTCTGAAAAAGCTATTAAAGGTTTAATTAAACGTTTAACTAAAACATCAATGATAGATGATTTACAAACAGCATTAGAAACACAAAGTTCACAAACACGTTGTGTTACAATTCCAAGGTAAATTTTGTTTTCTTTGTTTTTTATATCAAACAAAGTCATATTATCTGACCAAAAGAGAGAATCTAATTTGTCTCTCACAGACAGAACACAAGTTACCTAATTGATCTAGTCTAGTCATGATGTTCGTCGAGATTCTAAGAATAAATTCTATATTAGATTTTCAGTGGATAAACTATAGAGCTGAGATTATTTGACATTCAAGAAAAACAAAGACATTTAGAGAAACTTTATACGTTGCTTATATTATAAAGGTTGTTATTACTGATGGAAATTGAAATAAGCGATTACTGTTCAGTATAACGAGATGTTCACATAGAGAGGTTATTTGGTAAAAGAATCTACGTATTTTTCATTTAATTTGTGCTGGAAAGTATATGACTAGGTTTATTAAACAAAATGAAATAACGAGTAGATATGAATCTCGTTTTGTAGTCTTCACAAAAGATCCTCAGGATGTTTCTTTTTTCCTTGGTTTCACATTTTCCATCAAAATTAATTTTGCGAGGAAATTCTCGTTCATATTCTCTTTTGTAATGATATGCAGTTTGTTAAGGAAATCTTCCTTTGTATTGATTTAGCTTATTCGTCGGACGAGGAAACATAGCTAGTTATTATGCATTAATCGAAATGATATTTCGAACTTAGCGAGTCTAGAAAAATCTGAAAGGATTCTTTCGAATAGATCATCCTTATGAAATTAAAACTATTTTTATACATAACTAGAGATTCTTTGAACTTGAAAGTTTTTGTCAAAACAAATGGTTTCTTCTCATCATATAGAATATTAAAGAAAAATTGGTTTCATGACATTTTTTAACGGTATATATGAGTTGAAGCCTTTTAATTATGAATTTTTTACTATTCCTTATAAAACTGAACAACTGAATTGTTTTGTTTTGTTTTTTTTTAGAGAAGCACAAAATAAATTAGTTGAACCAAATCCATCACAAACAGTTCGAAAAGCATTTAATGATGTTACACCTGTTGTTGCTTTTTGTCGTATATGGCGTTGGCCAGATTTAAATACACATCTAGAATTACGACCAACTGATACATGTGTATATGCATTTCAACATGAAAAAGATCAAATATGTGTTAATCCTTATCATTATGAACGAGTTGTTGCACCATGTAAAACTTAAAAAAAAAAAAAAAGAAGAAGAATATTTCATTGTCATTACAAATAATATACGTTTTCTTGTTTTAGTTATTCCACCGGTTCAAGTACCTGTTTGTGATCGTGCTGTATTTGATTCAACCAGAAGTGAACGTATGCAAATACAACCAGATTCAACTGTTCCTATGGATTGTAAGTAATTTAAAAAGAAAAATAGATTTCTAGAGAAAATTTTGTGTTTTTTTTTTAGTTGCAACATCACCAACGGATCAACAACGTACAGCTGTGAATAGTCCAGCAAGTGTACAAGATAATTATGAAGCAATGACACCAACACAAGCATCAATTAATCAACAACAAGTTGCAACAACAAATTTTAATGGTAAACAAGAAAAATTAATTCTTTTTGTTGACATTATGTTTGATATTTTCTTTTTCTCTTTCTATAAGGTATTCCAACAGCATCTATTGCTTATGCTGAAACACCATTTTGGTGTTCAATACTTTATTATGAATTAAATCAACGTGTTGGTGAAACATTTCATGCATCATTAAATTCTCTTGTTATTGATGGTTTTTGTGATCCAAATGCATCTGATCGTTTTTGTCTTGGTTCATTAACAAATGTTAATCGTAGTAGAGAAAGTGAAGTTTGTCGAAGTATGATTGGTAATGGTGTTAGACTTTATTATATTGGTGGTGAAGTATTTGCTGAATGTTTATCTGATACACCAATATTTGTTCAAAGTCCAAGTTGTAATCAACGTTTTCAATGGCATCCAGCAACTGTTTGTAAAATTCCACCACGTATGTATTTAATGAGATTTTTTTTCTTTTTTTTTTATTAAACGATGTCACGTACTACGTAGTTAAAGATTTTATTCAAGCATAATATTATAATAATAGCATTTGTAATGTTTATTTTTAAAATAGAATGTCTGATGCACTTATTTGTAGGTTAAAGAAAAAAAAAAATTATATAGAAGAGAAATAAGTTTAAAGAGTCTGTTATTTGAAATGGATTTTTTGACTTGCTTTTTTTTTTATTCTATCGTCATAGAAGTATGGGGTTAGAGAGTTTGCTTAAATATATATGTGTATTGTGTCGAAGTCATGACAGATTAACTAAACAAAAACAGATAATTATCAATTGATCAATAATATTGTTTCTAAATAAAACATATATTTATATTTAATTTTTTTATTTTATTCATGTAAACATTATTAAGAATTAGAAACCTTTCGGAGTTTTTTTTGTCATATAATCAAATAAGATTTTATTATAAATCTTTATATTTATTTATACATGTAATTGGGAAAAACAAGTGAGAATAAGGATTTAGTAATGATGTGTTGTATAGTATAGTATAGATAAGTTGACATTTTGATAAATTTAATAGATTCTAAAAGTTTGTCATTTTCTTAGCTGTTAATCATAATCTTCTTAAAAATTTTCATGTCAACTTGCTATGTACTTTTCTTTTTTTTTTTTTAAATTAATTCAATGATTTTATTTGCACAAAATGGATATATAAATAGTTTTGAAATATAATATAAGTTTCACAAAGATTGTTCAAATGTAAATAAATATTTACATAAATTATTGGTTTGAGTTATAATTCAAAATTAGAATACTATGCTTTAAATGTTCATTCTATTAGTTAGATAATATAAGGTCAACTTAACCTAATAACAAATATAACTCGTACTTTTCGAATAAAATTAAAAAAAATTAGTTATTCCTTTGATGTAAACAGTCAATATTAAAATGATTCAACTAGTAAATAATTTTATTTTATTACTAGATGAGTTCATATTATTCATTGTTCTGTTTAGTGTTTTTATTAATGATGAAATTGTTGCATGTTGTTTTTCATTGTTTCATATTTTTTTTGCAAGCTGTCGCGTGTCTGTTTCTAATTAAAAATTTCTTTATTATATTGGATTTGATAGAAGAAATCGTGATATACATATTAAGTAGTATATATTCTAGTTGTACTTCGGGTAAAGGTTAAAAAAAACCCAATGTTCTTTTTGTTTTTATGGACTCAACAGAAATCATCGACAATAAGACGACAAAATATTTTTTTGCATGTGATGTTTAGCTAATTTTACTGTTCGATATATCATTAGAAAGACTACTAGAGATTTGCTATTTCAATAGATATATTCTGTATGGTTATCTATTATCTATATGGTTAATTTCATTGATATGTTGAAAATAATATTAAATATTGTTTTAATATCGTGAAGTTTCCTTTTTTTTGTGTACAAAACTCTTATATTTGAAATTATATCACTTTTGTTACTTTATAAAGAGCAGAAATAAAAATTTGTATTCTGCTGTTTATAATATAACAAAGATATATCTTGAATGAGATCGTATAAAATGGTCTACATGTAATGGGTCGATAGAGAGTAGACTCTTAACATAGGATATACCTATTGAAATAGAATATCTCATGTAATTAGGTAAATATCGTATAAAAAAGTACGTTTTGTCGCCTTTTTGTAGACAAATTTCATTGAGTGAAAAAAAAGCATGAGTTTTTTTTTAACCTTCACCGAAAGAAAAGTTATGATACAAAGTATTGATTACATAGAACATCATTTCTTCTAC